TATACCATAACTTTTCCACAAAGTGACTTACTAAAACACTCTAGACCAGGCCCAAGTTTTGACGGTCAATGTGAAACCACTACTAGTGTGTCTTCCTGACACTAGTCACTTCACTAGATCATGCCATTAAAAGATGAAACCTACAAATATACAACTAAAATGACTCTAAGTTTAGGAAAGAGTCAGTATCATGTATTTTATAGATCACAATGATACGCACAGTATTTCTTAACCATGGCTGAAAAGAAAGATTCATATTAAACAGTTACTCAAGGGCCCAGCGCGGTGGTGCAAGTGCTTAAGGTCCTCACCTCGCACGCCCGGGATCCCATATGGGCGCCGTTTCTAATCCCGGCAGCCCCGCTTCCCTTCCAGCTCCCTGCCTGTGGCCCGGGAAAGCAGTCGAGGACAGCCCAAGGCTTTGGGACACTGCACCCCGGAAGAGGCTCCTGGCTTCGGATCGGCATAGCATCGGCTGTTGCGCTCACTTAGGGAGTGAATCAATGGATGGAAGATCTTCCTCTCTGTCTCTCCTCTCTGTATATCCGCCTTTCCAATTAAAAAAAATATATATGTTATAAATTAGGAAAAAAAACCAGTTATTCAAGATGAGATGGGGTCATGATTAGGGTCGCCCTGTGTTCGTTCATATCCATCTCATTTTTATTTGTAATTAACGGCCGACCCACACTTTGTGCCTTCCTACTTAATGGAACAGACTTGCAAAATGGGGAAACTCCAGTAAAGGACTCTGTAAGCTCTCATTTTCATTCCTTCCTCAGAGGCCTGTGGGAGTCCCCAGAGGGAAGACGCCGACTCCTGTCCCCTGGACCGCCTCCTTCTGCCACGCACACAGCCATGTTCTGCCCAGGAAGGCTCTGGGGTCAGTGTGCTCATCAGCCTTCCAGTCTCATCAAGTTTGTCAGAAGCGTAAGGCTTTTCTTTCAAAGGTATGGCAGGTATTTGGGTGGAATGGCCTCCCGTGAAGTCTTCACTAAGTTTCCTGACCAGTTAGGTCCTGTTCAAGCTGTTGACTCTGTAAAAAGCACCATCAGCAATCTGAACTGAGAAAAATGCAAAAACAATCAAGTGACTGAAAATCTTTATTATGCAGCTTCTTCCCTGGCGAAGGATCCAAAGGACAGGCCAGTGAGAGAGGGAAACTCCATTCTTCAGTCGTTGACATTCACTGCATTGCCCAGATGACCGGTACCTGCCGCAAGTGCAGACCCTCTAAAGCTCTCCTGCCTGGCCCCGTCTCTACCGGCTTGTTGCAACTTGTTCTGAGTCCGCAGGGACTGGGCAAGAACACAAATAACAAAGGCTCTGAACCATCAAGATCTGCCTTTCCAAAAACAATAAACAACTCTTTAAAAAAAGATCAGGCTGAGTAAAACCAACAGGCAGAGAAATCTGTCCCCAGATCTTCCCAAAAAATAACAGGAATTTTTCCATCAATTTTGAAAACAGCCAATGTTCCCTAACAAGCTGTAGGCTTCTGAATTAATTGTGGACAACAGCATGCAAGACCCCAAATCTCCAATGTTCTTAAGATAACCATCTGGAGACCACCCTGCCACTCACCAACAATTAAAAATCACCTACTCTAATTCTCACTGTATTTGCCCCACCTTTTTTATATGCAAGCAGCTTTATACACAAGTTTTTAAATCAATAAAAAGGGGAAAAGTAATTTGATCTAAATACAGGATTACAAAGTTGGAAAATTTCAAGAACATGAATTACTATGAATTTTTTTTTTTTTCAAAAAGAAGACAAAACTATCTTTTGTATACTTTCTTCATACAAGAATGTATTCAAAGCAAGGTAAAAGGAAAAGCAAAAATTCTTTTTATTTTAAAGAACACCAAAGCTAATATTTTTTTTCTTTAACAGATTAAGTAAAAATAGTATGCTGGTTAAAAAGAAATATTAAACAGACTTGTGCAAGAGTTTAAAAATATAATAATGGGGCCCGGCGCGGTGGCGCAAGTGGTTAAGGTCCTCGCCTAGCACGCCCGGGATCCCATATGGGCGCCGGTTCTAATCCCGGCAGCCCCGCTTCCCTTCCAGCTCCCTGCCTGTGGCCCGGGAAAGCAGTCGAGGACGGCCCAAGGCTTTGGGAACCTGCACCCGCGTGGGAGACCCGGAAGAGGCTCCTGGCTTCGGATCGGCATAGCATCGGCCCGTTGCGCTCACTTGGGGAGTGAATCATCGGATGGAAGATCTTCCTCTCTGTCTCTCCTCTCTGTATATCCGCCTTTCCAATGAAAAAATAATAAAAATAAATCTTTAAAAAAAATATATATATATATAATAATGATATAGGCTTTGGTTCTAGAAATATTTCAGTGTCATCCTTCTGCCACTCGATTAAAATACCTGCTCATTTAAAAATCTTGTGCCTACTAAAACTTTGGGGCTTTTGGCTACTTTTCAGAAATGGAGTATGGATTATTAAATTTAATTGTCCCTTTGGAACTGACACTCTGGCACACATTACGAATGTAAGAATCATATTGACACTGGTAAGAATCCTTGCAAAAGCTCATCTTGGAAAGGTTAATCCTGCATCACTTTTCAAGGAAACCTCAGGGAAAAGAGGGACGGCAGAGAAGAAAAAAGCACAGAGAGATGGGAGATGGCAAGAAACAACTTGAAAATTATTAAAATCTGCTAGCCCTGGGTTAATAAAGCCCATGAGCTTTTTCAAAGCTATCAGATGAAGAGGGACCAGCCTTTTAAGAGGTATGACAAGAAAAGTGCTAGAAAGTATTAGGCCTTAGTGGATGAACCAGGAACAGAAGACCTTCATTGGAGATAGCCCATAGCCCACTTATAAAAAGCGTGCATGTTATAGCCATGCCACAGCAAACAGTTTACAGGAAATACCAACACTAAAACCACCATCTAGTGCACCCTGGTGAAATGCTAGGCCGGAGGATACAAAGCTGAACACAATGTCACCAGCCTTTAAGGCAGTAACTATCCGCTTACAACAACAGATAGGAACAAAACACAGTGCTCAGTGGGAAAAGCCGCTAAGTCCGCCTTTTAAAAAGGCTTTGGTATCTATCAGATCTGCAGTTAGGTGGGCAGGCTATAAGAAGCCTTCTTATAAAAACAAAAATAAGGGGTTAGGCAGCAGTGCTTGGCTTAGCAGGTGAAGCCAGAAAATTGGGCTGCTTCACTTAAGATCCAGCTCCCTGCGAACGTGCCGGGAAAAGCAGCAGAGGATGGCCCAAGTGCTTGGGTCCTCGCGTCCACATGGGACACCAGGAAGAAGCTCCTGGCTCCTGGCTTCAGAGCAGCCAAGCTCTGGCCAATGTGGCCGTATGGGGAGTGAACCAGCAGACAGAAGATTTTTGTTTTTCTCTCCTTCCCTAACTCTGCCTTTCAAATAAATATATCTTTAAATGCACAAAGGCATGACAAAAAGTTGACAGCCATGAGATCTAATTTGTCAAAACTGGTTCGTGCAGACAATTCCTGTTTGTTAACTGTTAATCTAATCTGTGCAAAAGTTAGTATCTTATTCCTATAATTCTTGTATTCTCTCCCAAGCTTGTCCTCTCCCTACATTCTTTTCCACAGTAAGTGGCAACACCACCTAAACGTTAACAATTTACAGTCAGTTGACATCACTATGTTCTATCTATTACGCTCCATTCTCATTTTGTTTGTCTCTGTCTCCATGGATACCTTTCAAAAGGGTCCACACGCCTTTAATACCCCTTCACCCAACCATCCAATTCTTCCGGGAAGCAGAATACTGACAGGAAATACAAAATCGTGTAACATAGTTTCTGTCATCAAGGAACTCAAAATTTCATGGGGAGAGAGATGTAATTAAAATACTGTATCGGGGCCAGCACAGTGGCACAGTAAGTTAAGCTGTCCCTTGCGATGCTGGTATCTAGTACCAGCTGGAGCCCCAGCTGCTCTGCTTCCCACTCAGCTTCCTGCTAATGTCCCTTAAAAGGCACAGAAAATGGCCCAGGGACCACACTGAAACAGGTGAATCTGAAGCAATGTTTCCAAAACACAAATCTCAACATCACTCACTTGCTCCCAGGATGGAAGACCAGCCTCTTCCACGCCCAGCCTGCCTCACCTCATCCGTCACCTTTTCTCTCATACTGAACCTCCTGCAGTTTTCTTAATACAAGCTGCTCGCACGCTGTGGAGCCTAAGACTCCCTACAAACAGGGAACTTGTACAGAGGGTCTTCCAGGGCCTTGTGCTTCTCCACTGCTGGATGGACCACTCACACAGTATTTGTTTTTTAAGGACTATTTAATTGAAAGAGAGAGAGAATCTCTTCTCAACTGGCTTACTTCCCAAATGACTGCAACAGGCATTTCTGGATCAGGACAGGATCCAGGAAGGCCACCCTGCTTTCCCACACGGCTTCTGCGGTTACTTCACACCTTCCCAGGTGTGTTGGCACGCAGGACTACAACCAGCACCCATCACAACGGCTTATCGACTGGTCAGTATTTTAATGATCCATCTCTGAAGTTCTGCATTTCTCACTGACAAAAACTGCCTGACACAAATCTCTTGGGTAAACAGGCTGCCTACCTGACACTGAGTTATAATCCACACTTGATAAATATCTGAATTGTGTGAATAAATGAATGAACTGTAAAGAAAATTCAATGCTCAACAATTTGTCCTGTTTATGACCCACTCGTAAGAAACCTACTCCCTAGTAAGACCATAGTTAAGCCACAATCACAACTGAACCATCCTCAAAGACAAAAATGAAGGAGGTTATGACAGAAATACAAAATTCAAGAAAGTATTTACTTCTTCCGGCCAAGACTTAACATTGTGGAGGGGAAAGAAGTTGTCAACGCATCAGAACTGAGCTAGCTTATCTATTTCTAACAATAATACTACAACTACATACGCATTATTACGTGATTCTTCACAGGTAAAATGGTGCGTTTGCTTTTTAAACAGTAAATGAAAGCTGCATCTTAGCACTGACTCACCGATTCTTTTCCAGCTCATTGTGTGTGGATCTAGAAGAAAAAAAGAAAAGAAAGAGCATTAGCCATGCTTGTTGATAAGACTGTGGGAAGGGGAGTTCATCCCTGCTCTACCACAGCTGGTGAATTTATTTAACAGTGCAATATCTGGTCAGACTCTGCCAACCTCGCTCATCACAGAGCCATCTGCATTCATGAGGACTGCTTATTCAGAACGGACTAAACATTCTCAAACTGGAGTTTTTTTTTTAATGACATATCAGTACATGTTCTGCTTATAGTATCCCACATTTTGCTGACATGTAGATATTTTTCTCAAACATAATCTCATTTTGTTTAAAAAGAAAAAAAAAGTCCCTGTCTTCCTCTAGCTCCACTCTCCCAAACACAGGAAGTATGCTCAAACTGCAAACCTGAACCTGCCTTTATGATAAACAAAAACAAAAACAAAAAATTTTAATTTAATTTTATTTGAAAGGTAGAATTCCAGAGGGAGAAGGAGAGACAGAGAAAGAGAACCTCCATCTGCTGGTTCACTCCCCAAACGGCTCAGCAGCCAGAGCTGAGCGGATCTGAAGCCGGGAGACTGGAGTTGCCTCCAGATCTCCTCCCCTTGGCCATCCTCCACTGCTTTCCCAGGCCTTAAACAGAAACCGGACTGAAGTGGAGCAGTTGGGACTCAAACCAGTCCCATGAGATGCTGGCAACGCAGCCAGAAGGCTTAGCACACTATGCCAACTTATTAGCCCCATATAAGAGCATTTTATACAAGGGAAAAAAATGTTAACATGAGTTCAGAAGATCTATCAATAAAATCAAGGAACATTTTAAAAGACTGGAAGAATCTGATTCAAAATATTATCTGTGATTGTTTTCTTTTGGTGATGTTTTTTGTTTTTGCTTCCCAGTTTTTGTGCTTTTTAATTTGCTCTGATGATATCTTTCTTTAATTTAAAGGAATTTATTTATTAGATTCTAGGGTTCACAGTAACAAGCATGCTAAACAATGTGCTAAGCACATATCTCATTTTACACCAGAACAACCCTCTTGTTTTGTTTTGAAACAATCAAACTGTGGCTCAGAGAGGTCAAGAAACTTACTCCCAACCCAAGACTGTAAGAGGCAGTCTAAGTTAAGATCTGTCTCCTTGGGGTCGGCACTGTGCCTCAACAGGCTAATCTTTCCCCTCCAGGTGGGGTAGCCCATCTGGGTGCCAGTTCATGTTATAGCTGCTCCACTTCCCATCCAGCTCCCTGCTTGTGACCTGGGAAAGCAGTCGAGGACAGCCCAAAGCCTTGGAACCCTGAATCCGCGTGGGCGACCTGGAAGAAGCTCCTGGCTCCTGGCTTTGGATCCACTTAGCTCCAGCTGTTGCAATAATTTGGGGGAATGAAGCAGCAGATGGAAGATCTTTCTCTGTCTCTCCTTTTCTCTGTATATCTGCTTTTCCAATAAAAATAAATCTTAAAAAATCTGTCTTATTCCAAACTTCAAAGTCTTATTAATCTCCTGGTGGGAATCAATACTGAATAAAAGACGCATACTTGAAAGCTGAACTCATGGGCTCATACTGTGTGGCCTTGGGAAAGTCCCTTCATGTTTCCTCATCTGTGAAATAAGGAAAGTACAGTGAGTCTTCCATGTCTGCAGGTTTCACGTCTGCAGATTAAATCAATAGCAGACGGAAAATATCAGCCGGAGAGGGTTGCATTTACCCTGAACACCGACAGGCTCTCTTGTCATAGCATAACAGCTATTTACATATAACCAACTTGTACTTGGCACTGTAAGCATGCCGGAGGATGTCCACAGGTTATATGGAAGCAGCATGTCATCTGCCTTGTGCGACTACGACAAGGTTCATACTGAACAGCAAAAAACAATAAAATCAGTTACATTCAAATTATATCATAGTAGGTGCCCCTGAATGAACATGTAATACTTTTGCAATAACTTATCATTAACAAGAATTTTGAGGCTGGCACTGTGGTACAGTGAGTGAGTGAAGCTGCCACCTGGAATGTTAGCATGCCATAACGGGGCCAGGTTGAACCCTAGCTGCTCCACTTTCGATCCAGCTCCATGCCAATATACCCAGGACAGCAGCAAAATATGGCCAAAGTGCTTGGGCCCTTGTATGCATGTGGGAGACTCGGATGAGGTTCCAACCTCCTGGCTTTGCCTGACCCAGCCCTGGCTGATGTGGCCTTTTAGGGTTTGAACCAGCAGACCGAAGATCCTTCTCTGTCTGCGCTTTTAACTCCACCTCTCAAGCAAATTATATATATTTTATATAATATAATATATTATATATTATATAATGTTATATATTAATATATAATAATATAATGTATTATATTATAATACAATATAATAATATAATATAATATAATATAATATAATATAATATAATATAATATAATAATATGATCTATTTATATATAACAAATATATTATATAATATATTTTATATTATATAGAGAGTATATAATATATAATAATGTAATATATTATTATATTATATTATAGTATTATATATTATATATAATAATAATATTATATATATTATATACTCTCTATATATAATCTTTATACATATTTTAGGCTTCTATCATGAAAACTAAATTTTAATCATTTTCTCTGTTCTGATTAATGTTAAATGGCTTTAGAATATTATACAACTGACTGCTTTAGTCTCACTTTTTTTGTCCAAAGGATGTTTTAGTAAATCATACTCCAAAACCTTAACGAGGATATTCTAGCAGCCTTGTGATTTGTGGAAATTTTAAGCACTGGCTTAGTCCAAGAGCCAGAAGACTCCTTTGAGTTACTGTCTCTTATCCACTTTTATTCTCTTACTAGTTTCATAAAGTTCAAATGACATATAATAAAAAATAAGTTCATTTTAAACAGATTATCTTAATGAAAGCACTTCTCCCTTAAGGCGATAAAAAAGAACCTTAGACTATTTCAACAGTCCAGCAAAATTGACAGTGAATAAATATACAATTCAGATGGAAGAAGTTATAAAAATATACAATGGTCAGTTTAACAGACTCAGCTCAAATCTCAATACATAAAACAACAAAACCCATTATCACAATACAAGTATTTAAGTTTTAATAAAGTTCTTCTACTTAAAGGAAATGTTAGAGCCAATTAATAAGTTACAAGAGAGGAAACAATTTTTTTTTAATTTAAAGATTTATTTATTTTTGTTGGAAAGGCAGATATACAGAGAGGAGGAAATACAGAGAGGAAGGTATTCCATCCAATGGTTCACTCCCCGGGCGGCCACAATGGCTAGAGTTGAGCCAATCCGAAGCAAGGAGCCAGGAGCTCCTCCAGGTCTCCCACATGAGTTCAAGGTCCCAAGGCTTTGGGCCGTCCTTAACTGCTTTCCCAGGCCACAAGCAGGGAGTTGGATGGAAAGTGGGGCTGTCAGGATTAGAACCGGCGCCCATATGGGATCCCAGTGCGTTCAAGGCGAGGACTTAAGCCGCTATGCTATCATGCCAGGCCCGGAAACAAATATTTTAAATAGTTTTTAAAATAAATACTAGGGACCAGTGTTGTGGCACAGTAGGTTAAGCCCTGCCTGCAGCACCAGCATCCCTAAAAGGTGCTAGTTCGAGACCCCCTTCCAATCCAACCTGCTGGAGAAGCAGAAGATGATCCAAGCACTTTGAGCCCCTTCCATCCACTCTGAGAGACCTGAAGGGAATTCCAGGTTGTCTTGACTTGGCCCAGTGAATGAAAGACAACACGCTCTTTCTCTCTTTCAAGTAAGCAATTTAAAATAAACAAACAAAATACTCTCTAAAATGTAAATGGATAGTAATGAGGTTACCCTGGTCCCTCTTGTTGAGCAGGTTTTGGTTTAATTGCCTTTCTCTAAGGAGAAAACTAAGAATAGGCGAAACAAAAGGCAATCCACACACAAAATGCTACAGCAAGCAACCAACAGAATCGGTATTCCGCGGCAAGGGTAGACTGCTTGCCACAAGCTTACTCTGAAAAGTCAAGTAACCCACTGACAGTCATAAATGCAAAATATGCCAAACAATAATTATCGAATTCCAATATTATATTGAGCTCATTATATCAAACTTGGCAATAAAAGAATATATTTCACCCACTGCTGTGAGCAAAATTAAGACAGCAGGTTCGTCCTACCTCTCTCTCTATGGACTTTCATTATTTATTTTGTTTCTTTTTTAAGATAGGTAAGCGAGAAGGCTCTTGGCATGGTGGTTAAAATGCTGCTCCGAAGGGTCGGATCCCATGCTTGAGTGCCCAGGCTGAGGTCCCGACCGCAGGCTGGGTTCCAGCATCCTGCCAATGGGCACACAGATGCAAGCTCAGGGAGCCGGGCCCCTGATACTAATCCTGGGCACCCAGACTTGAATTCCTGACTCCAGCTGCTGCCTAGCCCAGTGATCACAGGCATCTGCTGATAGAACCAGTGGTTGGGAAATCTTGCTCTTACTGCCTTTCAAGAAAAAAAAAAAAGACATCTAAAACTATAAACCTTTTCATTGAACCAAGAAATGCTTGTCATATTTAGCTATACAGAGAGCAAAATTTAGCAAGTTTCCCAAATAGCAGAAATGCACTCATCAACACCCTACTGCCGTGTTCTTCCAATCTAAAGAAACTGATCAGCAGTACTGATTCCTATTTTGAAAAGCACAATTTTTAACACTGTGTAGTAAGTTAGGATAGAGACAAAAGCTCACAACAGTGAAGACCAGGCCAGGAGTCAGGACCTCTACCTATCTGGCTCCCACACTGAGTAACAGAGACTCAAGCACTTGGTCAGCACCCGCTTCCTCCCAGGAACAGCAGCAGAGACCGAGGACAGCACCCAAGGCAGAGGCTTAACCTGCCGGTCCCCAACGCCCATCCCTGTTACTTCTGCTTGGTTAAGTTTTTGCCTGTAATATCAGGTCAACAAATGTGAAAACCCTCAGTGTCCCAGGAGATTTTAGGCTGCAGGAAATCATAGCCACCAATGGGTAAAGTACGCCAC